CATACATCACCGATGTGTGCATGCAACATAAGCGGTGGGCATATTAACATGCGCCCCCGTGGGTAGGGGAGCATTTTTCCTTTTTTTCAATTACAATTAGCAAAAGATAAAAAGGATATCAACATGGCTATCATTTGTGGCAGAAAAATACAAATGACATGGATGAAAATATCCAAAGTGGAGTTACACCTTTGCACCATCACCACCAATTCCAGATTGTAACCAAGCTAAAATATCTCCAGTTACCAGTGGCACCCCTAAGGAAAAAAAAAAAAAAAACTCATAAAAAAATTAACATTGTTAATCTCAACTGATTACTATTACTGATAACATAAATTATTCCTTGAATTTATCTCCAATTTTTCAGCATTTGGAGCTCTGGCTATGGCTAATGCATTTGCTCACATCAGCACACAATACCATAAATTTCAACCTTATTATACTATTGAATCAAATTCTTCTTGTTTTGTACCAAAAGCTATAAAACTGCACAGCAGAAGAAAAAGCAGCAGCTCAAGCATCTACAGAGCTCTCAGGATTCAAAATGCAGCAACCAAGAAGGCAAAAACACCAGGTTTTTTGTCTTTAATTTATTTATTTTTTAGTTATACTACACACAATTTCCCAAGAAAAAAAAAAGTGTAGTGTTTGAGAATAGGTCGAGGGCGTGGCGCCCCTATTTTTGTCTCTATTTTTGAACTTCATTTTTCTTTTCCAGCTGAAGAAGACTGGAAGATCAAACGACAAGTTCTGCTCGAAAAAAGGGTAGACCGAATCATTTATGCATTATTCGTATAATATGTGCTGATTTGAGTAATCATTGGACACATATTTATGTTATGAAATGACATTTTTGTTTATGTTGTTTTGTAGAATGTATAACATTTGATTTTTTAAAGTGCATATATATGTTAAAAGACTGATTGATGTGAAAATGTCTTAAGCCATCCCAATATATAGTCTTTGATCGTAAGCGAAGAAAGTGAACCGATAGAGAGATCTTGATTCCATTGAAAAGGTAGGATTAATTGAAAAGATAAACGAATAACTCCTGAAGTTTTAGTCTAATTATGAAAAATCCCAGTTCCCTCTGAAATTGCTGCCTCAAATGAGTTAACTTTTGATTAGGTGTATGCAAATATCAGATGGGTTCTTTGAAATATATAGAACATCAGAATATATGCTTCTTTTGCTGCTTTGTTATTAACTGTGAAAATACAGTTCACTGGTTAAAAAGAGTACACATTTGCAGGTAAGAAGTGTTGACGTAAAGGAAGCGTTTCGACTTCAGAACGAGAATAATTTCGTCATTCTTGATGTGCGGCCAGAGGCCGAGTTCAAAGAGGTAAATCACAGCCTCTTTAGAGTTGACACGTTATTTTCTGAAACCGGCCAAAAAAATAAAAGGAAAAGAAAGATTAATAACAACACATTATCATTTTGTGATTCTTGATGTTAGGCTCATCCTGAAGGTGCCATTAATGTGCAAATATATCGGCTGATAAAGGAGTGGACCGCTTGGGACATCGCCAGACGAGCTGCATTTGCTTTCTTTGGCATATTCTCAGGAACAGAAGAGAATCCTGAATTTATCCAAAGTAAGATTGTTTAAATAATTTTGGGATAATTGAAGTATGTCAATGCTTTTTTTTAGTAATTTTTGTAACTAAATTGAAGTATGTATCATACTCCTTTTACTTTGTTCTACATTTTGAACAAGCAGGTGTGGAGTCTAAAATAGCTAAGAATGCGAAGATTATAGTCGCGTGTTCGGCTGGAGGAACAACAAAGCCGTCACAGAATCTTCCGGAAGGACAGCAATCGAGGTTCAAATTAATTTCCCTTTTTTTTCTCTTTTTTATTTTGTTGGTTATATTCTCTTGCCGTGGTAATTTGTTTTCCTATGATCAGAAGCTTGACATCCGTGTTAACGCTTATTGCAGGTCACTTATAGCAGCTTACTTGCTTGTTCTCAACGGGTACAGTAATGTCTACCACTTGGAAGGAGGGATTTACAATTGGTTCAAAGAAAGCCTACCATCAGTATCTGAAGAGTGAAGTCACTTCTAGTGAAACAAGATTTGTTTTGAGTTTGTAATGAAAGTCTTACATTTTTTTGTTCTAAAGTTCTAATGCGTAGGATTTGTTATGCGTGTTTGAGAAATCAATTGTGCATCTTTTACAGTTTTTACGTAGTTATAAGTTGTTCCTGAAGCAAAATGAACTTAAGTTGAACAAAATTTGCTGCAACTTTGTATGGAAAATGATACGACATTTGAGAAGGTATGATCAAAATCATAAAGGTAACATAAAAGCAGCAAGCACGAAGCCATTGGAAGCGGAAAAATCGTCTCAAGGATAAATCGAACCACCCGAATAAAGTCTAAACATGTTTCAATCAGAATACATAAAGATTAATACCAGCAAAGCACAAAACATGTCGCGATCCTCATAATCACCACAATTTCGAAGAAATGAGATCTATAGGCAGTTCATGGTCCTTCCTCTGTACAACTGTACGTATTTTTTGGAATCAAAGATGGGTCTAACTGATCAAAACGAACAATAAAAGCTAACTCGTTTTCTTTATCCTCTTTCTAAGAAGCACCACAAATTCAACAGGACAAAGGCTAGAAATGCACGACTTTCATGTAAGGCTTGAAATGCATTCATAAGTCGAAAATCAAGATGATGTTTCGCCAAGCCGGTATATTGTGATCTCCTGTTGCTTGAAATATCGACGGTCCTCCTCATCAACGAGCACAAGGTTTAAAAAATATTTGACGCTAAATTTGTTGTTTGTGTTCCGGTATGTTGGAGTTAACTCATATGGGCTTAGGAACAATCTGATTGGAATTGATTCACCTGTCAAAGCAAAGTATTATCAACAACAACAAGTCACATTCTAAAATCACAAATATCTCGTGATCTTTGTTTTGTTTTACAAATTTTACCCTCAATAGGAGGATATATGTCATAATGCAAACCTCAAGAGATAATGATTACTGCATTGAGATGGATTGTTTTGCAAGTCAGATTAAAGATACGGCTATTCATGTAATTATCCTCAAAGAAATAATAATAAATTAAATCAAAGCATGGAGAAAGAGAGCCTAGCCTAACAGGAAAAAAAAAGATAAAAGATTCGTGTCCCAAGAGGCTACAGAAAGAAAATATGGAGTCGAGTTATTTGGCAGTATATACGAAAGTCCCCAACAATAAAAAAAAAGTATGATACCTCTGACTGGAGCACCATCCATTAGTTCAAACTTTGCAAGTGTCTCAGTCTCGACATGGGTGTTGGGCCCTGACCCAGTCGATTCTCTGCGCCGAATCTCAAGATCCATATTTTTTATCTTGATTCGAACAAGAAGAAAGTATATTTTGCCTATAATAACATCTTTCAGATGATACCTGGTTATCAGAATTCCAATCAGCAAAGTATCATTACCCACCTCTAATAGACTTCAATTAAAAGAAAAAAAAAAATACTAGCACAACTAAACCAATAAAATGGCATTGGATTAAGGCTATCAAAATAGATATATGGAAGAATTTTTCCGGGGAGTAACAAGAGGAAGTGGATCGATTAAATTTAAAAAGTGACATACTTGCTCTTATTGTACTCAAACTCGATATGAAGACAGTCCTCAATTCCAACTTCCATCTACAATGAAAACATCAAAGATTATGCATATTCTGTATGAGAACGTGTGTTCAACTTCTTATAGGTTTTCCTCATAATCTGGAACAGAAGACCAGAGGAAGAGGAGACCCTAACCCTGAATAATTCAAGTTAAATCTGAGGTTGACAGTTTAGAAAGCACAAGTTGCATGACAGTCTAATAGCACAATAATGAACAAGTCAAAATAAGTAATGTTACCTTGATACTGTTGTTGATTGATGGAGGAGGGCTGAAATTCCTGACCTGATATCCATGAGAATTGAGGATAATCAGCAGAACAAACAAACTTTTCATGAACAAACAAGAGACTAATTTATGACCCCTAGGATACAAACTTTTCAAGATTAATAAAATTAGCATAGCCCTCTTCCCCAATAATGCAGCCGTTTAAAATAAGGAAAAGGGGATGATGAACAGTCATGCGGACATCAACCCACAACTTCCAATCTGGTGAGCCTTTTATAAGAGGATAATGTGCATAATTTTTTCACTGTGAATGGGAACTTGATGTTTTACCACAAAATCCTGATATTCTGTAATGCTTCCAGCATAGCCCCGACTTATTGTCACTTTTAGGACATACCTGTAGCCAAAGAATCAATTTCACATGTACATGAACTGCAGGAAAAAGATAAATGAAAAGACCATTTTAAGCACCTAGAACAACTTACCTAAGCCGCACATTCACTCCATTGTATGTCTCGTATGGCATTTCCACAGTTGAAAATTCAAATGGATATGTTTTCCTCTCATATATTTCTCCCGGAACATCCAGTTCACGAACTATAAGTACAAGAAAAAATATATGACATACAAATAAGAGGAGAATTCACTGCTTACAAGAATGTTCATTATGGCACTGGGCAACAAGGACAAGGTACTAAAATGAAATGTAAGCCCCAATAATAATCTTCTATACATAATATAACAATAAGAAACGCTGTATAGTTACTACACTGATTTCCATTCTATAACTAGCATAAGGCATGAATTTAAGAAGAAACTAACCAAGAGAGGTGAAATCGTAGAAGTTGCCTTTGTCAAAGTACATTTCTGCAAAGAGGATGGAATGTTAATAAAAGCACAAACTGAACACATCAAGTAATAACATCCTTTAGACTCTGAGTGTTCAAAGTCACTTTTATATTTGGATTAGGTAATAAGATCAAATACAAGGTTGATTCAACAAATTAAGTGCAGTCGCATAATATAATGCAATACTAACACAATACAGAAATAAATCTGAATCTACAGCTCTGACTTGCATAAACAACACACCTATCTGACCGAGAAGCTCAACCTTAATTCCATTGTGTTCCACCTTCTTCCCTGAAACTGGTTCGACAGAGATCTGGAAAAGAAAAGTAATGTACATTTAAACTCAGAGCTTAAAATTAAACTTGACACTTGAAATGAGGATATTAAAGTAACTCCGCAATACATGGTACCTTCCCAGATACGCTTTCCTGGCTTTGGAAAAGTGGGACCATTACTGTTTGACCATTCTCCTTCTTCAATGGCACCTGGAGTAAAAATAAAATGAATGAAACAAATTAATCATAATTAACTGCTCGACCATTCAAATTACGAATCTAAGTGACTACCTACCTCTAAAATTCAACAGACTATTAATTACCAACACAAACAGCAGCAAACACAAAAACTTAACTATCAATTAATGTAAAAATAACAGGCAAACAGACAAGTCGTCTGGATAATATTACCCAACACTCATCCTTCGACTTCATCAGAAAAAGTATTTTAAGAATAGAAAGAAATTTCAATATGTTAAAATTGATCCTGGAATCTGTAAGTTTTACCAACTGATATGATAAGTCATTTACACAATTATAGACAGAAGCAACCATTAACTGAAACATATTCCAGGTGAAATATTAACATGAATAATTAACAGATCCTAAATGGATACCACAACGGAACCAATCTGAGCATACTACCGTGCAAGCTCGACTGGATAGAAACTCACAAAGTTCAAGCTGAAAAGATCAAAATGTACCTGTTTCCGAGATTTCCCATCAGTAAAAACAACTGAAATGTTGCATGCTGGTTTAAAAGCTCCAATTATGAAATTCTGAAAGCAACAAAATCAAAGATTGCTACTTTACTACCACAATAGAGCCATAACGCCAAAAAAACACCTAACACGGAGAGGGTAGATCAGTCCACGAACTGATACTTTACCATTGCTAAACTCCAAGCTTTTTTTTTCTGAAATCCAATTCCAACAAAAACACCAGCAGAATATTTCAGTCACAATTCAAACTCCAACAATAGCTGCATACGAAGGATTAAGGAAGATCCAATCAAACAAAATTAAAACGACACTTCATAAGCTGATGAAATGCAATATACTGCAACACAAAAACAATAAAAATTCGAATCCAAAACCCTAAAATAATAAAAAAAAAAAAGATTCTGTTCATAATCTCTGATGCATAAAAATCCGAACATAAATCATCTGAAAGCGTGAACTTCAGGATTAAAACGACGTACTCGAAGATATATTTGCAGAAGATCGGAGAGTGAGATGTCTGAGATGTCGAGGAAAAATGGCGATCACAGCGAAAGGTAGAGAGAGGAAAAATATTTCTTCAAAGACCAAATGCCAGCTAAGTGACGATTCTACTTAAGGTCGTGTTTGGATTGGAACAAACTAAAACGTGTTTAGGGAAAGGGGACAATTATTAATGATTTAATATTTTTTATTGAAGAAATACTGAAATAGCAAAAAATTTATTAACAAAGTACTTGCATAGTTGCATTGAACAATCAAATTTTCACCATTTTACTAATGATAACAAATTTAAAATGGGTATAATCCATAGTCTAACTTATAATTTTAGTTATGTAATATATAATGCAAAAATTTTTATTTACATTTTGGAATGCACAAATGATCGAATACTGGTGTAAGCTAAGTAGTTCATATTTATATTGTTTATTTTTTGCCAATGATAAAAATACTATAAACTCGCGATATGCAAATTATCTAACTTATAATTTAATTTTTTATAATCTAACTCATAATTTAAAATTATATGTGCACAAACATATAACTTATAATTTTTAGATGCGTTTGTACATGTTAACAAGATTGGGTAATAATTTTTTTTATAGAAGCAATAGTAAGGAATTGATTAACACACTTCTTGCATAGTTGCATTGTACAATCAAATTTGTATAAATTGTTGGGCACAAATTATTCTGTGAGACAGTCTAACCATAAGATGGATCGACCCACCATATTTTGAACATTTTATGCATATTTATAGTCTCATACTTATATTTTTTAATTTAAAATATGATATTTTTCTAATGAAAGTATGCATATTATTAAAAATATAGTATGTCAATCTAATGGTTAAGATGACCTAACACAAGACTTACCAATTGTTATGTTGTACATATTAACCGTTAGATAGATCGTTCGTCATACTATGTGAAAACAATACATACTTATACTATTAAATATCGCTCGTTTGTTCATGTTTTTTTGTTTTTTTTTTTATATATATGGTATGTTTTAACATATTAATATAATATGAATACTTGAAAAAAAAAATTTATCAGAAGACATACATTTAAACTGATAGTTCATATAATATACAAATGATTATTAAATTTGAAATCAGCATGAGTAGTCCTCAACATATCCTTATTTGGTCTTGTGGAAAATTCATAAAGATGTAGTTAACTGGCCAAAATACAGCTACAGCCCAAATCAGATCTAGCAACCAAAATACAGCTAGAGCCCAGTCATTTAGCCCAAATTTTGTCTAATGGAAAATGAAAGGAAAAACTTGAGTGTTAGGAACTGTTCATACCCCCCCTAGCAAGCTTCAAATCATAAAATTATGCAACTTTTACTTGCAAATAATAACCATACTAACAATAACAATAACAATAATAATAATAATAATAGTAATAATAATAATAATAATAATAATAATAATAATAATAATAATAATAAAAAATAATTGCTACAATGAGCAGTAGGTAAAATCATTACAATTTGCTCGAATGAGTTTCTAGATACAGCAGTAGGTACGAATCAAAGTTTCACTGGCACGACCTTAAAAGGCAAAGCACATTTAGCTCATAGCCTCGTTCAATATCAGGTTACGGTCAGTAAACTTTGTGATGCAGTTAAAACTAATCCTGAAAATTGAAAAGAGAAAACCGATAAGTAGGAAATATTAGAAATCAATACAAGACTTAAAATGAAAACTCTACACGAGCAATGGCTTATTAATGGCTTCTCAGACCTGATAATCGTCTGATTCTGTCTGACAAGAGCTTTCAAAAAAATGCGAGTTTGATCGGCAGCTGTATTCATTTGCTGCAGCCCTTGTTCCTTTGGTTGTAGCAATTACTTTCTCTATATCCAACTGTGACAATGGCCTTGGCTTCTGAAATTAAAGTCCTAATAACTTTTGAGAAGCCCAATAATTAATGATACAACATATAACAGAAACATTTTCAATATAATATAGTGAACACACAGAAACTATGCAACTGCAAAAATTCTCATACACTGTCACAAACACACACACGCACACACACACACACACACAATGATAATAATATTAACGAGAAAATTGAGAAAATAAAAGATCAACCTGAGATGGATTTTCATTTTTCTCATAATTAAGCATCTCCCTGATTGGGAAATAAGCAGCCTTCTTGCAGAGCTCGAGAAGATCAGAACCAGTGCACCTATCACATAAACCAGCTAAATAGTCATAATCGATATCATCTTCAACTTTTTCGTCATTTAGTATCACTCTTAAGATTGCAGCCCTCTCCATGCAATTTGGGAACCCAATTTCAAAGGCCTGAGGAAAACGTCTCAAAATTGCCTCATCAAGTTCTGATGGACGATTAGTGGCAGCAAGTACCATAACCCGAGCATGCTCTGCAACAAAACACATAATACAATGAGAATGGCCTCACCATAACTAACACAACATATAAGTTATAAACTTCTATACTGCACACACAAACACATGCACATATATATAATGCACATAGATTTATAGAGAATATACTGTCAGTCGTGAACCCATCCCACAAAGCCATAAACTCGGTCTTCATGTTAGCCATTACTTCATGGTCAGTGGACTTGCATTGGCCGAGAAAGCTGTCCACTTCATCAATGAAAATTATAGCTGGCTGGAGTTTGTACGCCAAAGTGAATACAGCAGTCACTGCATAAAAAAAAAATTACCAAACAGAAGATGTTAAAATATGCATAAATTTCAAAGTTCCGTCACCATTCGGAAGTACAAGTTATGATCATACAATAAAAACTTGAACGGAAAAGGACAAAATACAATGCCAATAGGTTTTAGAAGAGGAAACAAAATACACACACCCAATTTCTGTGCATCCCCAAAATATTTGCTCATAAGGTTGGATACTCTCACGTTAATAAAAACAGCTCCGGATTCTTTTGCGATTGCTTTCGCAAGCATTGTCTTCCCGGTGCCGGGTGGCCCATATAGCAAAACACCTTTTTGAGGACACAGAAGCTTTCCACTAGAAAAAAGTTCAGGTCTTCGTAGTGGAAGAATGACCAATTCATAGAGTTGTTGCTTAATGGAATCCAATCCCCCAATAGACTCGAATTTGACATCAATATCGTCCGGGTTGACCACATCACACGCTACAATGTCCTACAAAAAAAAAAAAAGAACAAAATGATTGTTAGCCCAATGTATATCACTCCCAAATTCTGAAGTGGAAAAATTACCATCTTCAATGAACCTATGCTCATATGTAATTGTCGAAAGCCGGATACTTTGAATTGGCCATCACTAAATTAGATAACAACATTTTCATGCAAAACATTGCAATTAATCAAAAAAATTTAGAAAAAGTTCGAAATGAAC